TTAGAAAACAAACAAACAAAAAAACGTTCTCGTGCCTTTCTGACAAAAGTACAAGAGTCGCATTGTGAAAGTCTTAGTCTGTTGAAGAATGAACAGTTTATCCTACTTGGTAGAGCTGCTTCACCACCTCCAGCCCAGCCCATGTGTACTCAGTGTTACACTCCCATCCGCGACCGCAGATGAAGATGTCTGTATTTGGTTACAGATTGCCTCTTTAGTCTATCCTCTTGAGCCTAGGTGCATCATTCTCTCCAGGCCATAATAGTTTCTTTTCCGACGTCGTTATTTGTTCATAAAAGGCCTTGAAAAGAGATAAAGGATTAAGAGTTAGTTAGTTAGTTAGTTAGTTAGTTAGTTAGTTAGTTAGTTAGTTAGTTAGTTAGTTAGTTAGTTAGTTAGTTAGTTAGTTAGTTAGTTAGTTAGTTAGTTAGTTAGTTAGTCTTTCCTCTTGGGCCGAGGGCAGCGCATAGGGCAGAGGTCACAGCTCTCCATTTCTGGCGGTTCGTTGCCACCTGTTTTAGGTCTTGCAGGTTCATTAGGTCCATGGTTGAGCCTTCCCTGATAATGATGATTCTTCGCAAGGTCTGTCTTGGTCTTCCCAGTTTTCGTTTCCCTTCGATGGGGGATTCTGGCCCTATCCATTCTGAGTGCATGGCCGGTGTAGTTCCAACTGCGCTTTCTTATAAAATTTGATACAATGTCTTATTCGGTCTCTTGTCTTATTTGCCTATTGAATCTGAAATCTGTCCAGTATAGATTTAGTATTCTTCTGAGATATCTGGTCTCAACACTTTCTGTTTCTTACACACAAAATGTTCCAACGACGTGGTCTCTTAAGGATGGCTCATTCTGCGTCATCAAGAAGTGGCCAGTCAGTCAGGTGACCACCGACAATCCTGTGTCAGAGTGTACATAAGTGGCCGCACTGCGGTATGCTGTGTTCAGCTGTATTCAAGTGCATGTTAAGTGGGGAAAATTATTTGACTGGAAAACCTATAGTAGGTCTAGGCTTGTATAGCACATCTCTTTCCCTATTTATTTTTGTTTTCTCTGTCTCGGTCACAGCTCTCTCTGTCTCTCTATCTATCTCTCTATCCCCCCCCCCCCCATTCTCTCCGACTCTCTCTCTCTCTCTCTGTGTGTCACACTGTCTCCTCTGGGTGATCCCGTCTCCTCTGTGTCAATCTGCCCCTCTCCTCTCTCTCTCTCTCTCTCTCGTAGCTCCCATCCTCCCAGTTAGGACTACATGTCCAGTTCCTATGCAGTATTAATAAGGACCCCCCTCTCCCTCTCTCTCTCTCTCTCTCGGACTCTCTCTCACTCTGTGTCACACGCTGTCTCCTCTGGGTGATCCCGTCTCCTCTGTGTCACTCTGCCACCCCCCTCTCTCTCTCTCTCTCTCTCTCTCTCTCTCTCTCTCTCTCTCTTAGCTCCCATCCTCTCGGTTAGGACTACATGTCCAATTCTTAGGCACTATTAATAAGGACCCCCCTCTCTCTCTCTATCTCTTTCTCTCTCTCTCTCTCTCTCTCTCTCTCTCTCTCTCTTTCTTTCACTTTTATTGATCTCCAGTTTTCTCAGTTTGATCATCCTATTTTATTAATTGGCTGCTAATTGGAACTATTTCGTTTTCGTTTTCATCACTTCAAGAATATGTTAATCTGTTTAGTTTGACAAAGACCAGGCTCATTCGATTTATAAGAAATTTATTTTGGCATTCGATCAAACATTTTTTATACGTAAATCGTTTATCTAATTACACGTCATTAGTGGTAATAAGCTTGCAGAAGTTTACCATAGTTCTATGTTAAAGTTCACCACTAATCCAAAATACAGTAATACTTCACATGTTTAAATTTTTTTTTATATTGTGTGTGAGTGCTTGTCAGTTAGGAAGAGAGGGAGGGAGAATATATATTCTCTTATGTTGTTACAGAACGAAAAAAAGAAAACATTGAGGGGTTTTTGTCCCCTTTTCCACTTTTTGGTGTGGGTAGGGCTTCTCAAATGCATAACAATACGAAAATAATAGTTTATAATAATAATAATTTAAAAAATAAAAATAAAAATGTACACTTTCGGCAAACCAGTATAATTGCACACATTATATGTTTAAGACAGACGTCAGAAGTTGCAACACAAACAGTTCATCAGCGATGGTAGTAGCAATTACAGCAAATCAGTAGCTGCACACGAAATTAATCGCGTAAGGCACCACCAGTTCTGCAGTAAATACTACTGTCACATATCACTCCTGTCACGTGCCTGATATAAGGATTTCTCCTTCAGAACCAACAGCACTCAGAAATAATTATGTTGAGTCGTTTGGCTCGTATTGGTCTAAGGGATGCCCCATGGCCAATATACGCTCAACTTATTTCTGGAGTAGGGCAACTCAAGTTTTGGCACTACAAAATATATCTGTATATGAATACAATATTCCTAGGCACACTTGGCTGGACACCCCCACTACTTACTAAAGAAAGCCCCCAGGTTATGATAGTTCATTATCATAACCATGTTAACACATATAATCTTTATGATTCATACACACACAAATAAATGCTAAACACTTAAAAGGGTGAAATAGAGACACCTAAGTCAGCCATGAAAATGAATGCATGTAATCAATACAACATATACATATATATATATATAATAGTGAAGTAGATGCCAAATTTCAGTGGATGGATCCCAGAATACAATGACCAGACCTAACAGAATTCCAACCAGTCAGAAAGTCCTGGAGGTAGCACCTCATCATCATCGGAATACATTGGAGCTGTGGGGAATATAGCAAAACATGGAATCAAAATGGCACTTATCCTCTTTCTATCGTTGATGCTTCCCTCAGCTCCGATGATTCGACTGTCTTTGAATCTGGTAATTCTGCTTCAAATGGATCAGGTAGTGGAAGAGTACCTCACCATAGAGGACACAGCAACTGTACCGGTACTCAGCAAGTCTCTCCCACCAGTCAGGTCACAACACTGTCTCTGAGCTACACCAAGCTCTTGCACTGTTAGGCTGTTTGGGGTATATGGCACCCCATACTGATGATGTTATGAATCTTCACAGGAGTTAGCTGGTGGGTAGTTGGTTGATAGGTTGGTTGGTAATTGGTTGGTGGGTGTTGGTTGGACTGTGATTTTTCTGCTAGCTCTTCACAAAGGTTTCATCCTGTCAGGAAAGAACTCAGAATTAGTCATCACCAAGAGGGTATCATCTTGACAGGAAAGACAGAATAAGCATCAGTCACCATCCCACATCAGCCTACTCCACCTCTGCTCCTCTGTTTCATTCCTCAGAGTGCACTCTCAAGACTAGGAGACAATGTCTCCTATCATTCATCTGTCTGTTTAGTGCAAGAGATGGAAAGTCAGATATATATAGTGGAGATAAATAGACACTCTCACACATATATCACTCTCTCTCCCCCCTCCCATCTGCACACAGACACCAATATTTACCGTCAGTACCTCTATTCCCTACGACTCTCAAGCCAGTCCCACACATTCATTGATCTGGGTCAAACACACTCACGTAACGCTGGCTGCCCCAGTACTGACCTAAATTCTCTGTCCCCATTCGTAGGCACAAACTTCTGTTGTTAGTTTAATTGGTACACACTTGTAGGGTAATTATCTTTACCAATATGTGTGGGTTATTTAGGGCATAGGCTATTTAGTCTGTACAGAAGAAGGTCTGAGTTCGAATCCGCTTCTATGGAGAACAAGAACGGTCGAACCAGGTGCGATCACATAGCTGACGCCAGTATTTTTACAGCAGCGACCTTTTTAACCAGACATATTTAAGGTACTCGTAAACTATAATTAACTTACCCAAGCATAGGAAAAGTCCTCGACACTACAGGCCGCCTTCTGAAAGTGAAATTTGCTGGCGTCGATGCATACATCTGAACGCTAGGAAAGCCGGCAGAAACAATGCCGCAAAAATTCAAGTCAGGCGTCGGTAAGAAGAAGTTCCTTGTATACATGAGCAAGGAGTAAACCGGTTTCTAAGAATAGTCAAATAACTCTAGCAATATTTATCATACAGTTGCAAATTTGAAAATGACGCTAAGTCAAAGCAACTGGAAGATGTAGGTATCATAATTTTCTCCGATCAAGGCATATATGGATATAAGGGACTATATACCTTTCCGGACGAGTCCAAGTTTGAAAGTTTTGTCGAGCACAGGTAATACAGGTCTCGACTCTTTTAGGGGTGATGTGTAATGGCTTGTCATTCCTTGACAACTACTTGCTACTTTCCGAATCTAAAGTTCCCAACCCAAACCAAATTGGGCAAGGTAACAAAAAAACCTCCAGATAAATCCACAGCTCACAGTGTGGTGCCATGTACTAAACTCAGTTGCTGTGAAAATAAAAAAAATATATATTTTCTGTTGAGATATGCAAAAGTGAGAGAGTTAATGATAAGAATACAGAGGAATATGAGCACATACACAAAAAATAACAATATGAATAACGTTTTAATTGTATGAACGATGGTGATAATTAATATGACAGTGATGAAGAAGCTTGGAATAAGACTTATTTGATAAGTAATATTTCAATCTTTTCAATAAAATCACCAAATAGGATTAAGCATCCATTGTCGCCTATGCCAGTCAGCAAAGACATTTTAAGAAGAAAGCCATAATACAACAGAACTTGCCGTGTGGGTTTGGGAGGCCCCAATATGTGGAAAACGGGAAAAACAATCACAGACCCCGAGTCCTCACCCACAGTCGTGTCGTAAGAGTCGACTAACTAGGAGGGTTTCCATCGAAGTCGGAGTGCAAGACGCCAACAGTCTGCATACAAACAAGTCAGAAATGTAAAACTGATGTGCATGCACAGCTGAAGTTTTGGAACAAGACTGAAGTCCAGAAGTGGGTAAACAAATCGAACTGTCCGCTGCAGTGAACAAATAGAGAACACAAAGGATGAAGCTAGGACAGTACCACCCAGCTGTAAAAAAAAAAAAAAATGAAGTTGCCTCCTATTTGGCGGTTTGTTCTTGCAGATTCGAGCCCAAGTTCTCCAGTTCTGAGTCCTGTCACAGCTGGCGACACCGGCCCAGGTGCAATCAACGTCAAGCTGCGACCAACCCCGGGCAAATTCCGCAACATCTATGCTGAAGGTAAGTCACTTCGTTCTTCTTTACATTCTCAACCTTCCTAATGCCGCGACCCTTTAGTGCAGCTCCCTCATGTTGTGGCGACCTCTAAACAATTTTTTTTTTTCATAACCTCAGTATGTGTTTTCCGGTGGTCTTAGGCGACAGAGAGGGTCGTTCGACCCCAAAAAAAAGGTCGCGACCGGCAGTTTGAGAACCACTGTTCTACATTAACCCTGGGAAACAGGATTGTCCCGTCTCCGCAATGGAGTTTGGTTGCTAACTATGGGAATATTACGTTTACGTGGCTGAGATGACAGTAACATCTTTAGCTGAAAATGGGACATTCCACTCATAACTGAAAACTGATTGACAGGACTCTAAACTGGAGAACTTGGGCTCGAATCTGCAAGAACAAACCGCCAAATAGGACTCACCTTTATTTGTGTGGCCTGGGCTGCAACCAGTATCAACAGTTAAAAGACAGAGAAGATGGCGCTACATTGTACACATCCTGAGAAGAACCCAGCAGAGAATCATCAAACAGGCATTGAAATTGGAAACAAAGGGATTGAGGAGGCTAGGACTTCAAAAGAAACCTACAACGATCGTTGATGAGAGAGGCAAGGGATGCTGGACTACATTCCATCCGTGATAATAAACTGAAAGCGCAGGACACAGCGGAATTTAGGAATTGACTGTGAGCCTTGTGTGGCATATAATGGCACACCAGAGCAATGAATGAGGTTTGAGGTTTTGAGGTTTGAACAACAGATCAACATCATAGCACACGAGTAGTAACCCATAAGCGCTCCGTTTCTTCTTCTAACTTAAGTTTGAGTCCGAAGAAGCTTAGCACAGTGCACAGGCTCTGTAGCAACGGCAAGGATCCTGAAATACTTTGGGTAGATTTTCAACTCCAAATTTTGCCCCGGCTGCGCGTTAGGCTACTCTTTTCGATTTCCAACTGCCAATTGCAACAATGCGCATGAGCGTCCGACCTCAATATCCAGAGACCAGAGGGAATTACTAGAAGTCCAAGTCCACGTGAAAAAATCTTAGCCCTTACCGGGGATTGAACCCGGAACCTCTAGCACTCGAGGCGGACACCATGCCTCGAGACCACGCAACCCCCTCGGGACAATTAAACAATAAACAGCTACACCACCTTGTTGTAACCTGCATGCCTGTGCGGGTAATGATATGATTTAGCCCTTGAGAATTATGTTTTTCGCGTGGTTTTTGTTTCCATTTGTTGCACCAGATCTGTGGATTCCAGTGCTTACATTTGCGAATTCTTGCCCTGGATCTCACAGTGCATAGACAAAATATTATCCTTATCCTTGCATAGGATTTTATTTTAACAGGTTTTCTGATTTCGTCTATTATCTAGCGCCAACAACTGTTGGTCACTTCTTCGCTCGAATTTGTTGACTTCTCTGCATAAGCTCCGCATTAGTGATTCTATCAAAACCTTTAATTAACAAGCTCTGTGCAAGCACCAATCAATGAATGTTTGGTGCTAATTAGTAACTGTTTTAGCATTCTCCATGTTTCAGCAATATATAGCATTTTAAACATTAATAGGTTATCTTCGTGCACAAAATACACTCGAGTGTCCAACTTCTTCTTCTTCTTCTTCTTCTTCTTCTTCTTCTTCTTCTTCTTCTTCTTCTTCTTCTTCTTCTTCTTCTTCTTCTTCTTCTTCTTCTTCTCTTCCACCTTGTACCTCAGTGAAATGTCGGGGAAGATATAATATTCGTTGATGAGCTTTGTCAAGAGCACTGTTAAGATTGATGTTCATTTCTGTACGGCTGTTCTTAATGCCATCACATTGTCCAATAATTGTCCAACAAAACCTGTTAAAATTCAAAATCTCCTTCAGTGACGTTTTCATTAACTTTATTATCAGTTTTTGTTTTGTATAATCATCGGCAGCATTTACCCGCCTGTAACGCGGTGACATATGATGTTAGACGTGTGTTTTTTTTTATTGACTATTCGGTACCCACTGGGTGATTTACCAACGTTTCGTCTGCTACTGTTGCTGACCACTTCATTTCCTATTAACCTATTTGGACTGGATCTACCAGGGTGGGAATCATTAATTTTATTTTTGAGATCCGTTCAACATGGATTCGAACTCAAGACCTTCGGATCGGAAAGCGCCTAGTCATTGCGCTGCAGTGGTTCTCTGTGTGTCTGACTGTCAATTCTGTTGTTGATGATGTCTGTTATCATCATCATCTACTGAAACAATGTGTGAATGGAATAACGTGTGCACGGAGTGAGTGAGTGAGATTCAACCCCACCAACATCCACCAAGTGATAAACACCCAGTGACACAAAGTGCTACCATGCGGATGAAGATCACCCGGGGAGAGGTCCCAGAAATCCCGTTCAAACCGTTAGGATATATTAGGGCCTCCGACTACAGCCAGGGTGCGGTTTAAAAATAACTATAAACTTGCGTCCTGTATAGGGACGAAAGATTTGACTATCAAGGAGTGAGGGCAGAATGTAAGACGGGCCTGTGTGCTCAGTTCTTAACCTTTTGAAAAATAGTTTGTTCGTTCGTTCAGTCACTTCTCCCCCACCCATTTGTTTCTGTGTGTGTATGTCTATCTGGTCTACACTAAAGCCAGACCACTTAACAGAATATGTTGTGAATTGTGAATGGGTATTTCCACAGATGAGACAACTCTCCCACCCCCGCCACCTATAGACGATATAGACGAGTTGCCTCCCCCGCCGCCTCCGCCTGAACTCCTTAGCGGTGACTTGGGCAACCTCAACTTCAACGTTACCACACAGCAGAAGCTGCACGGTGCTCCTCCCGCAGCCCACCCCATCCAGCTACACTGCCTGCCAGGTGAGGCGGATTCCTTACACGTTGATCATCGACTTGTGCAGCAGCAAGCAGGACAACGGCAACCAGTGAGTACCTCCAAAACACACAGCCAGGATAGCGCAGGCAACAAGACAGGTGCAGGCGGTAGTGGCAAACCTTTGGAAACTATCCCATCGAGTTTAGGTAAGTTGAAGCTTGTAGAAAATTTGTTTTGTTTCTAGTATTGCATGTTTTTAAAACACACTGTAACGTCTGTCAATCCTTTTAGGGTGCAACTGGGGATAAAGAGAGTTATTGTTTTAGATAACTGAGCTTTTCTATGATTATAAATAATATAAATCCTTTGTGCGAATATGCAGCAAGTGTCTGTATCCCAAATGCTTTGCACATATGGGTGTACACACCTATTCAACCAACCTACATTGGAAAGCAGGCTACTTCGCAAGCACAGAATAGGGGGTCATAACTGTTTTTAAACAGGGTTTCTGGGATTTGCTACTGTTAGATTCACATCCGAAAATGGCCTCCTCCTTGAGTCACCAGGTCTTAATAGTTTGGGATTCAATCCCCGAGACGATGTTTTTCTACACTCTTTCAGTCTCAAACAACTTGACATGTGTAAGTAGCACTTTCGTGAATCCCACCCAATATGCAGTGTGTTGAAGTCCTTTTCACAGTTGGTCACAGCATACTAAGAAATCTGACTTTTCCCTTTTTAGCATATTTGAAAGCGATACACTCATGCTTTTTCCTATTTTTTTTTTAAATTTAATTGTACTTTTGGTCATTTCCGGTAAAACCTTCTGGTACTCAAAGAATTAATTTTAATAGATTTGTGTAGTATACCCAGGGCGTTTTATTCTGGGTGGGGACGGTGGGGGGGGGGGGGGGACTGTTAAGCAAAAGAAGTGTCTATTTCAGTGGCGCACTACTTTAATATACCATGTGACGAAGCCTTGCCTAATCTAGACCACAAATTGTTTTTGGTGTCTACTGAAGAATGACGACATGAGTATTGTAATTATCATCTCACGTTCTTTTTATAATCCAATTCATATGTGTCGCATGTTCGTCCACAACCTTATACCATGTGTACTGACACGAATTTCATTGTCTTGTGTTTTGTTTTTATGCTGAAGAAGGTTGTCTAGCCGCAACGTTACATGTATCACTGGCGAATGTGTAACCTGAATATCAGCTTTGCTGCTTAATGATGTATTCACCTTGTTAGGGCGGGAAGTTAGTGTCTGTAGAAAAGAATTATCAGACGTTCTTTAAAAAATAAAAACAAAACCCACTAAAACTGTTGTACAATCATAAAATAACGGACTCTTTTACGACCACCACCACCGTTTCCTTTCTTCTTTCTCCTCATCCTCTTCCTACTTCTTCTTCTTCTCTTCTTCTTCTTCCTCCGCCTTTTCTTCTTCCTCCGCCTTTTCTTCTTCTTCTTCTTCTTCTTCTTCTTCTTTTCTTCTTCTTCTTCTTCTTTTCTTCTTCTTCTTCTTCTTCTTCTTCTTCTTCTTCTTCTTTTTTCTTTTTCTCTTCTTTTTCTTCTCTTCTTCTTCTCTTCTTCTTCTTCTTCTTTTGCTTCTTTTTCTACTACTACTACTACTACTACTACTACTACTACTACTACTACTACTACTACTACTACTACTACTACTACTACTACTACTACTACTACTACTGACTACTACTACTACTGACTACTACTACTACCACTACTACTACCACCACCACCACCACCACCACCACCACCACCACCACTACCACCACCACCACCACCACCACCACCACCACAACCACCACCACCACCACCACCACTACTACTACTACTACTACTACTACTACTACTACTACTACTTTATAATACACATATGGATCCTCACCGGTGCTAAGTATTTCGTGCTTCTGTACTGTGTTGACATGAGAGTAAACTATAATACTTACGGCTGCTATATCCCCAAGCAATGAAAGTAACCCTGACGAGAAACCAACCATAAATGATGTTGTTGGTGTAAGGCTTCCATGCTCCTCTGGCTGTTTCTGCTGACAGCCTGCCTTATCATTGTTTACGTTTTTTCTAAAGTTTTGTTGATAAGATTTGTAAACCACGAATTATGTAAATCCATTTGTATAGATTGTTATCTGAAACTGTCCCAGCAGTTGCCTGCAGCAAGGAGACGCCCTGTATCAAGTGTCTCTTATATTCAGAGGAAACGGTAGCTGTCTTAGACCTACCGTACGTTTTCTCTGCAGTCTGGAATTCCGGGGTAGTTGTGAGACGTGCTTCAGGAGAAGGTGAATTCTGCGATGATTAGTGCTTCGGGATGTGAGAGTGGCAGCAGAGCGAGTGAGTTAGAATCAGCGCAGTTGGTATGCAAACATGTGTGTAGGTGTGTGGGGGGGGTGGGGATCTTTAGAATGCATGTGCGTCATGATAATTGTGTAAGTAAATGACCCTTTGTAACGCCAGTGGCGCACTGAACTTAAAAGTAAAGATCCCTTTCAACGCCTTTAGGCGCGTCGGGCATATGGGAAGAACGCCCATATTTTTACAGACCAATCGGCACTCGGTAAGTAATGTGGCCAGCATTACGCCGGCCGCCTTTACTTACCCAGGACAGCCATCCTGGTACCCATTGAGGCTGGGTCGACCTGCGACGTCCCATACCATGATAAAAATCAACGCAGCCCGCAGTGGGATTACGAGTCGGACTCGCAACGCCTTAGCCACGGACGCCGCACTGAACTTGTGATGTAAAGCAGAAGTGAGGAACCCTTTCCCACGTCTTCAGACGTACTGGACTAGACCTCTATTTTATTGGCCAGTCGGCACTTGGAAAGGGGAAGGAAGGGTGGGGGGGGGGGGGGTGATGGTTAACATGACGCCGGCTGTCTTTACTTCTTAGTACTCCACCTGGTACCCACTGAAGGCTAGGTTGACCTGGGAGCAAAGGTCATTTTTTTTTAAAAAGACAAATCGCCCGTTTCCGACCTTGTCTAGCCGCTATACCAAGGCGGCGGGCAAATCATGTTTTGCATAGACCAGTGGGCACATGATGGGTATATTGGCAATCAGTTTGTACCTTACCAACAAACCATCATACGGGACCACCAGATTCCCCGTAAGTAAAAGTAAAAGGTCCCTTTTCCTCGCCTTTAGGCATATAGGGCTAGACCTATATTTTTATAGACCAATCGGCACAAGATGGGTGATGTGATCAACATCACGCTAGCCGCCTTTACTTCCCGGGACTGCACCCGGTACCCACTCAAGGCTGGGTTTCCCTGTAACAAACATATTCTTAGCATTGGCTAGCTTTCTTTGGTGTTTACGACACCATGTTTGCGTATGTTACGTTAGTTAGTTAGTTAGTTAGTTAGTTAGTTAGTTAGTTAGTTGGGTTATCATCATTGCACTCCGGACATGTCCATAGGTGCTCAGATCCTCCCCTCAGTATGAATCCCAACGTCCGATGGCTAATAGTACCAGTTCTATGTTGATTACCAAATCTTCTGACGTGTCCGGTGTGCGTCTCGTTTTTTGCTGTGCCGATCTTAATTCCCAAGTCTGCCATTCTGGCGAGTGATGTGGATTCACTGCCACCAAAATCCTCTATCCTTCCCATTTCTCTGAGGGCATTGATAATATCTGCATGATCCATAGGCCGACCGTCGGTATTGATAGCGGATCCAGCCAGCCTGTCAGCTCTTTCATTTCCATCGACGCCTGCGTGTCCCGGAACAAAAATAAAGGTGACTCCTCGCACAGTGGACTTCTGAATTGATTCAAGCCATTGTCTTCGCACTGAACCTGCCTGAACCCTCCGGATCATACTCATTGAATCACTGAGTATACATATGCGGGTGTATTTTTGTGTTTCAAGCCAGGCAAACGCTTGCGTCACTGCCATCACCTCCATCGTCATGCTGCTGGTTGTCATGGAGAAGGCGCCGTTGGCTTCTTTGACTGTTCTGCCCGCTGAGCGTGCTGTAAATGCCCATGCGCTTCTTCTTTGGCGTATAACGGATCCGTCTGTATAGATTAGTGCATCTGCTTCGTCTGAATTTTCACCGATGAGAGCGTTGACCTCTGCATTAACAGCAACAGGATTCTCTTCTCTACATCGCCTGTTGAGTGTGACAATACAGGAAAATGTACAAATAAACGCCTGAGGCACTGGTATCCATTCTGCACCAGGTATGATGTCGGTTAGGCTGCATATTTGCCTAATAACATCTTCTGCCCGACCTAGCCATGATTTTCCCCTCTTCAGTCTGTCGCCCTTTTCACTAAAAAGTGCTTGATGCAGTGGGTGTTTCTTATCAGCACATATTTTGAGGTATGCCCGAGCCCTCCACATCCTGATCCTTTGGTTCATTGTTGGAAAGTCAAGTAGATACCTCATTGCTCCACAGGATGTGTCTCTTGTACATCCCAAAATAATACGCATGGCTTAATTTTGCACCTTCTCGAGTCGTTCAATCTGGGTAGCACTGACAGTGAGGATGGCCAGAGCGTATTCAATGGGGGAAAGGACCAGACCGTAGAATAGAAGCACCAGCAGTCTTTGCTCGATATTGGAAGCAGCCATAATCCTCATTGCAGATAGACCTTTGCGTGCTTTTGTTATCGCATGGTCAACGTGTTCCCTGAATGACAAGCTGCGATCGAACCTCACCCCGAGAAACGTCATAACGTTGGTTCTGATCAATACATTATCACGCATTTTCACTTCTGTTAAGTCCGACTTGACAATGTGATTGTTCAAAGAGAACCATGACACTGCTGCCTTCGAGGGATTGACATAGGCATTGGAACCATCACACCAGGCGGCAATTCGATCGAGTTCTTTGTGCATTGTGCTGGCGATCTCCTGTCTATCACGCCCCTCGTCGATAAATCAAAATGTCATCAG